TTGAGATGGTTAGTTGGGGAGATGAGAAAGGGGCCGACCAGCAGGAGAGGAAAGGCAGGGACTGAACAGGGACAAGGCATCAAGCAAGCATCATATGTAGCTCTCAGTAAGACCACGGCAGGGACAGAGGCTGACCCCATGACCGCAGGGGGCAAGGAAGCAGAGCCAAGCAAAGACTGGGAATTAGGAGCTGGCATAGGGGAGCAAACCGCAGCTGCAATTCAGGAGGTACTACGGCAACACAGGAGCACTTTCGCGTACAACTTGTTAGAGCTGGGGAGGTATAAGGGGAGAGAGCTGGAGCTGAACCTCACCACGGAGCTGCCCACATACCAGCGCAGGAGGAGGATGAATGCAGAGGATGCAGCCATATGTAAGGAGAAGTGCGAAGAGCTGCTAGCTGCAGGGATTATCCGCCCGTCAGAATCGAGCTTCGTCGCAGCCACAGTGGTAGCCGCTAGGAAAGACATCACGGGGAAGGTACTGGCAAAAAGGATGTGCGGGGACTTTAGGGGGCTGAACAAGATCACTAGTCCAGATAGGTATCTGATGCCAACTGCTGAAGACATCTTCGGCCGTTTAGAGGGCGCCATCATCTTCACCACCTTGGACCTGCGACAGGGGTTCAACCAAATAGCCATCAGGGAGGAAGACAAGCGGAAGACGGCGTTTCACGGGGTGGATGGGCTGTATGAGTACAATGTGATGCCCTTCGGGATACGCAACGCCCCTGCAGTGTTCCAGCGGGCCATGGATCAGGTGCTGAAGGGGATTCCAGCAGCGGCATGCTACATAGATGATATACGCATTTTCAGCAGCAGTGAAGAGCAGCACGTGCAAGACCTGAAGCGGACGCTAGAGGCAATAGCAGCTGCGGGTCTGACGTGCCATCCAGACAAGTGCAAGATAGCAAGGCAGACCGTGGCTTACCTGGGCTTTGAAGTGAAAGGGGGCCGGCTGGCGATACAGGAAGCAAAAGTTAAGGTGCTGGAGAACCTGGCAGCACCAAAAGGACAAGACCGGGCTGCGGGCACTACTTGGCTTCCTGAATTATTACAGGAAGTTTGTACCGAACTTCAGCCGCCGAGCCTATGCATTGAATCAGCTGCTGAAGGAAGGGAGGAGCTGGCAGTGGGGAGAGCTAGAGGAAACGGCAAGGCAGGACCTGCTGGAAGCAGTACGGACGGGAACGCTGGTGCAGATACCGAGGGCAGATGCCCCTTTCATCTTATACACTGACTGGAGCAGCACAGGAATGGGGGCAGTGCTCTGCCAAGAGATAGAAGGAGAGGAAAGAGTGGTAGCCTTCGCCAGCCGCAGCTGCAGCCCATCAGAGGCTAACTACTGCTCGTACGAAGGGGAGGGCTTGACAGCTGTATGGGGGATCACTCACTTCAAGGTATACCTGCAGGGTCGGCACTTCACACTTGTGACTGACCACCAGCCGCTGCTGTGGTTGATGACCCATCAGGAGCTGACTGGGAGAAACGCTCGCTGGGCCATTAAGCTGCTGGGATTCGACTTTGAGATACGACACCGACCTGGGAAAACGCTGCAGCACGCAGATGGGTTATCAAGGAACCCACCACCGATACAGCCGGTAGCGCAGCTGGCAGCCCTGGCTCAAGTAGCGGCAGTACCTTGGGGGCAGGAGAAGGGAAAGAAGCGGTTAGGGGACATATGGGAGGATGCGGAGACCCTGAGCTAGATCAAAGGGGAGCCACTAGAGGAGGAAGGAGTGAGCGAGAGAGCCAGGGCCCGAGGGCAGCATTTCAGGTGGTTTCAGGAACAGCTGCAGCTGAGAACCAACGAAGGGTGGAAGGTGGTGCCACAACCACAGGAGAGAGCCAGAATTATGGGGAATGTGCACGCGAAGCTGGGGCACTACGGCATAACCAGAATGCGGCAGCTGCTGAGCACCATGTACTGGTGGGCGAGCATGGGAAAAGATGTGGCAGGATTAGTGGCGAGCTGCGAGGCATGTCAGAGGAATAAAGCTCGGTTGGAGAAAGAGAGAGATGAGCTGCATTCCTTACCCATTCGCGGGTTGGGGCTACAGGTGGTCGTTGGACCTCGCGGGAGAGTTGCCGCTGTCGAAAGGAGGGAGGCAGTACATTCTGGTGATGGTTGAGCACACGAGTAAATGGGTGGAGGCGCGAGCATTACCAAGCAAGAACAGCGCACTGATAGCTGACGCTTTTGAGGAGCTGGTGCTCACCAGGTATGGGGCATGCGGGGAGGTACTCACTGATCAAGGGACAGAGTTTCAAGGGAGCTTTGACGAGCGGCTAGAAGAGATGGGTATCACGCACAGGGTCACCTCTAGGTACCATCCTCAATTGGACGGACTGACCGAGAGGCTCATACAGACCTTGAAGAAAGGACTTCGGGCCTACAGTGAGTCCCACAAAAGGAATTGGGACCGAGATCTCTGGTGGGTGCTGGCGGGGTACAGGTTCGCAAAGCAGGCGGCTCTGAGAAACCTATCCCCATACCACTTACTGTTCGGGCGGGATCCTGTGCTGCGGGTCGATGCACCGAAACTGCTGTCTGCGGTTATAGAGGCAGATGAGCCAAACCTGTGGGCGGAGTTAGCACAGCGGAGGGCAAAATACTTGAAGGAGCTGACTCCGGCAGCCCTGGATAACCTCCATGTGGCGCAGCTGCGTGACGCAAGACGATACCAGCAGCGTAAAGCATCAGGGATAGGGGGAAAGGGTGACAAGGTGGAGGCAGGGCAGGAAGTATACCTTCGCAAAGCTAAGCGCGACACGCTGGACTTAGCGGTGGGATCGGAGCGGTGGAAGGTGAAAGAGGTACGAGGCTCGGGAGTGTTAGTGCTGGAGGATATTCGAGGGGGGACCATCAAGGAACACATCACCAACGTGGCCAGGGCGGGACAAGGGAAGCCTCAGGCAGTGGGTCCCGTGACTCGAGCGGCAAAAATGGGCGCTGAGACACGGGAGGGGGGCAGGGAAGCCTGAGGTACCAGGAGGAGTGCAGGACAGAGTGATTACATACGCCAGGAGGAAGAAGGGATGAATCTGATCAGCAGAGCGGGCGGCATGGAGGGAAGAAGAGAAGGAGAAATCAGCAGGATACGCAGGGATGAGAGGAAATGAGGGTGGACAGAGGAGGATTCACGACAGCTGTCGCGTTATTAACACTTAGCTGGCAACTAAGTGTGAATACCACAGCAGCCAAGGTGAGGGTGTACTATAGTTTACCGCTTTGTACTCTAATTTCATTTGTGTGCTTGGAATGTATTGTACTGTACTGCAGAGCCGAGTAGCTGGGGAATTTGAGGTGGTTAGTGGGAGGCGAATTCAAGGAGGTTGGTGGAGGCGAATTCAATTCCAGCCTGTGAATTCAATTTCGAAGTCACAAGGCTGGCAGGCGAATTCAATGCCAGCCTGGGAATTCAATTCGAAGTCACCAGGCTGGAAGGCGGTGCATGCCTAGTGGGCCCAGTGGGGACACAGCTAGCACCTTGGAGACCTCGCGAGCAGCCCGGCTGACTCGCTTGGTGCACAGGAGCTTGCTTGTGGAGGAAGCAACCTAGGCAGGGGGTGGGAATAGATGTAGGCAGGAGTAGCACTCGGGCTTCTTGCTTTTTGCTTGTATGTTTCTCGTTTACTGCAATTTGCTTTCCTAATCCGAAGGGAACTAGCAGTAGGAGAAGCTAACAGCAATCTGACTGAGCCCTTGCGAGGGAGTTTAGACTTGTTGCATAAGGGAAGCCTGAGGTACCAGGAGGAGTGCAGGACAGAGTGATTACATACGCCAGGAGGAAGAAGGGATGAATCTGATCAGCAGAGCGGGCGGCATGGAGGGAAGAAGAGAAGGAGAAATCAGCAGGATACGCAGGGATGAGAGGGAATGAGGGTGGACAGAGGAGGATTCACGACACCCTCCACCTCCTCCCGGCCCTACGCCGAGCTTGTTGGGTCGCTGATGTACGCAATGATGTGCACTCGTCCCGACCTCGCCTACCCTGTCAGCGTCCTTGCTCGGTTCGTCGGCCCCGGCCGCCACACTGAGGAACACTGGACTGCCGCCAAGCGGGTCCTCCGCTATCTCCGTGGCACCAGAGACCACGCTCTCACGCTGGGTGGATCTTCCCCCCCCCTTCTCTCTGGCTTCAGCGACTCCTCCTGGGCAGACTGCCAGCCAGACCGCCGCTCCTCCCAAGGCTATGGCTTCACCCTCGGCAGCGGCCTCATCAGCTGGCGCTCTACCCGCTCCTCTGCCATCGCCCTCTCCTCCTGTGAAGCTGAGCTCTATGCTGGCACCATGGCCGCCCAGGAGTCCCGCTGGCTCTGCTTCCTCCTGGCTGAGCTTGGTGTTCCCCAGCGCTGCCCCACGCTCTGGTGTGACAATGCCAGCACCATCCATCTCACCCAAGACCCCGTGTTCCACGGTCGCTCCAAACACATTGAGCTCCGCTATTTCTTCATCCGTGAACTCGTCCAACAGAATCTCATTGCCGTTCGTAAGATCGCCGCTGAAGCCAACTTGGCAGATATCTTCACCAAAGCACTCCTTCGCCCTGCGCACTCTGCTCTTCTCCGCCTCATCGGCCTCGCTCCCCCAGGCGCGCCTTGATTCAGGGGTTGCTTCACTCAAGCCTTTCCGCATCTCTGCAGGTTAAGGGGTTGTGTTAGAATCTATCTTCTTGTGTAACCTGCATAGATGTTATAGGTTAGGCTAGAGTTAAGCACCCAAACTCAGTTTGGGTGTACAAACAGGGGTCACCCAGTTTGTAGGTTGGAAACCCAACCTTGGTCCAATTATTGGACCCCAAAGGTTGGGTTGGGTAGAATTATTGGTTCACTCCAATAATGTTGGCCCAACTCCAACTTGGCCAACATTATTGGACCCCACCAATAATCCCCCAACCCAACTTCTTGGTTGGGGTCCAATAATGCTCACCTAGGCTAGGATCCAACCCACTCCCTATGTAAACCCCCAATCTCCTCAATTCAATCATCAACTTCTCTTCAAACTATTGTTCTCACACTCTCCTCCGCCTCCTTGCCCTGAAACGGATCATGCTCGCGCGGGCCCAGCCGCCCGTCGACCTTCTTCTTCCACCAGGAGATCAGCTCCTGCAACTGTATCTTCAGCAGGTCCCCATGCCGCGCTGCCTCCCTCCGCCTCCCCGCCCCCTTCCGATCCTTCTCCCCTCCCGTTACAAGACTCACACTCCCCTCACCGCATCCCTCTCCTTGTCCCTCTTCCTTTGCTGCTCTATCTCCACCTCCCGCTCGCCCCACTCCCCCTGCTCCCCATTCTCCCGCCTCCTCCTGCTCCCCTGCCGCTTCCCCCCCATTTCCTCCACCCTCCTCCATGCGCTCTTTCAGCAGCAATGCCTTCACGCCAAAAAGCACCTCCACGCGTCGAATCGACTCATGGATGGATTCGATGGCCCTGTAATGAAGAGACTTGAGCTTCGGCTGCACGGCACAAGAGGTGTCTGAAGTATTCTCATCGACATTCTCCATGTCTTCATCGTTGTCCACCTTCCGAGCTTTTTTGCAGCGCTTGCTACGCCATAATTTTGGGAGGGAGTGCTCTGGGAGCGATTGCTTATGAGGCTGTTTCTGTTGCTTCTGCTGCAGCGGCTGGTTTTGTTGCTGTTGCTGCAGGGCCGTCGACTGCTGCTGCTGCTGCTGTAAAATCGAGTGCGGCTGCTGTTGCTGCTGCAACACATGAGGCTGGTGGTGTTGGCGCATTGATCTGCTGTTACAGGAGCTGGTGCTGCTGTTAAGGCGCCTGGTGCTGCTGCCGATTGCTCTGAACAGTCAATTTCTGCTGTTTCGGCTGCCGCGCTGCAGCTCTTCTTGCTGCCGCGCTGCAGCTCTTGCTGCTGCAGGTTCGCGATTCCGCGATGGATGCACCGTAGCTCCTCCCTGCTAAGCGTGCTTTGTGCTCCCTGCTAAGCGATCTGCTGTGCCTTCTGCGCTAGAGCTACTGGGTTTTGCCCTACATATGCCGAATTGATCCTGCTAAGAACCATGCGTGCCCTGTTTGGTCAACTGATACTGTACAGTTGTAATGCATCAGCGTGAGTGGTCGGTTGGGCCTGCAGGGTAGGAGACGCCGTTCTGGCTAGACTTCTCTGAATAGGTATGACGTTCAAGGGTACTCACACAAACACTAGAGCTTGATTTACGTGGGACGCACGAACATGGACCCTGGATTTCCACGAGCCATTGCGGTTCGTACGGTTCAGTAAGAAGCCGGGCACCAAACATGAGTAGGTGGTGACCTCGCCTCGAGAGCTGAGGGTAGCTATCCACACTGAGAGGGTGGTACCCTCTCGAGGGACATCACAAAAAAGGCTCTTTTTCGAATGTGGGGAAAGTGGTCGAAGTTGGGTTTCGAGGTTGGGTTTGCGTGGGTGCTGCAAATTTTTTCGCCCACCCCCCTGCGAAATGCCTCGCTTCTCAATTTGTGGGTTGGTTTCGCACCATCCACCCGACTCGCAAACCACATTGCGCCTCGGCGAAACCAGGTCGGCCAAAATATGGTCAAATTCTGGTTGGCTGTTTAGGGTTTGACTTGGTTGAAAGTGGTGTTCCGAGGGACGGGACAGATTGGCGCTCGATTTTTTTCAAATTCATGCAGGCACACTCCAGCACTTGCAGCTGGGAGCCTCGGACCCCACAACGGTGGACCCACCTTGGAATGATTTCGGGCCAATTTTGGCCTGATTCTGTTTTGAGTAATTTGGTTGTTTCATAAGCCTGCACTCAATGGAAAATCATACACACAAATTATTTCATACACAAACATAAAGGGCTAACCAGTTTTTATATATTTTGACATTGCCTGCATCATTCATTATGTGCTTTTATAATAACCTACAGCAACAAGTACTTATTCAAATAAAACGCGTTCGCACTGTGGAACGACTTCACTACTTGCACCTGCCTTTTTATCGAGTCGCAGTCAATGACTGAAAACTGGGAGGTGCCAGTCGTCCATTGCAGACGCTTGCATCCGGTTTTCGTGTCTTCGCCTGCCGCAGACCAATACCTAACAAAAGCCAAGTCATGGGTGACCCCTCTATGCTTGGCCTGGAAAATCAAGAGTCTTCCATACCACTCCTCATCACTCCCCTCTCTTGTTTCCCCTTTGATTGCCACATCTGAGAACCAAGGCTTGTCATGGGACTTTGGCGTTGCCTTGACGAAATGGGCGGTTCGAGCAAAACCAACATCTTCGGCTGCAGGGATCGCAAGAGTTGTGTGGGCCTGCATCAATGGAACAACCAACATATTAGCGCAATACCTTGTTAGTCAATGTTCCCCCCTGTAGCAATATCTCATTCTCACCCTAACTGTGGCTGGCGCCAGCTGCCGACGTGCAAGGGCACTCTTGAACTGAATGTGAGCCTCGACGTGTTGTTGCGCCCACATCTGCGCGAACCAATTTCGTGATCGGAACTCTGTCAGATCGACTTGCAAGGAGTATGAGTCTCTCGTCATGACCCTTCTCCCTTCTTCTATTGCCTGCACATGTTATGCACAAGTAAGCGACATACCTACCCATAAATCCTAGCATGCAAACTGAAAGAGTTGCTTTATGGTACCTTTTGCATTGCCATCTGTCGAGCATTCTCATTTTCCTCGACAAGTGCGAAATCCAGGCGCATTTCATGAAGCTTCATGATCTGCGAGTCTGCGTTCCGTTTGTTTGAACGTCGATACACCTGTTTGAGCAGCGGCCCATGCAAGTGCTCAAAGGTGTTCGTGCTGTACTCGTGCACATATCCTGCACGACGAATTGCTTGAGCAAAGTGCGTCATGAGATGTGTCTTCACAAGATTCCACGCAGAAGCCTGCTTCGGGAAGGCTTGCTTCAGCAACTCCACAAGCCTGCCACGGATGCATAGGGGGGACAGAGGAGCAGTAGGCAGAGAGGTAAAAAGGGGAGGACAGTTTGAGGTTCAACAGGTGAGTTGTCAGATGCAGTAGTCAAGAGAATTGCATGATATGCGGAATGGGGATGGGAGCAGTGGGGAGGGGAGCAACAGGGATGGGATCAACGAGGATGGGACCAATGCGGATGTGAGCAGTGGGAATGAGAGCATTGGAAATGGGAGAAGTTGGGATGTGAGCAGCGGGGATGTGAGTAGTGAGGACGGAGGCAACGGGGATGTGAGCTAGGGGGATGTGATCAGTGGGTTTAGGAGCAGTTGGGATGTGAGCAGTGGGGATGGAAGTACGGAGCGGGGAGCAAGGGGTACGGGAGCAATGGGAATGGGAGCAATGGGGATGGGAGCAATGGGGATGGGAGCTATGGGGATGGGAGCTATGGGGATGGGAGCTATGGGGATGGGAGCAGTTGGGATGGTAGCAGTGGGGATGGGAGCAGCGGGGATGGGAGCAATGGGGATGTGAGCAGTGGGTATGCGATCAGTGGGGATGGAAGCAACAAGGATGGGAGCAAGGGGGATGGGAACAGTGGGTATTGGAGCAATGGTTTAGGGTGCAACTGGGATGTGAGCAGTGGGGATGTTAGCAGGCTTTGTGTGACAAAACAGGAGGTTTACAGGGGTGTTATAGCACAATGGGGAGGTAAACGATGGGGATAAGGCACAATGGGGAGGTAAACACGGGTGGAAAAGGTACAATGGGAGGTAAACAGGGGGGTTGAGTCACAATGGGAGATAGACAAAGGGAATATGGCACGTGAGAGAGGTAAACAGGGGGGATAAGGCACAAAGGGAGTTTAACACGGGGGGATATGGCACAGTGGGAGGTAAACACAGGGGGATAAGGTACAATGGGAGGTAATCAGGGGGGTTAATGCACAATGGGTTTTAAACAATAGGCAGGCAAACACGGGGTAATACGGTACAATGGGAGGGGAACAGGGGGGGGGGGGGTAAGTCACAATGGAAGATAAACAAAGGGAATATGCCACAATGGAGAGGAAAACAGGGGGAATAGAGCACAAAGGAAGGTAAACACGGGGGGATGAGGCACAATGGGAGGAAAACACGGGGGGATGAGGCACAATGGGAGGTAAACCTGGGGGGATGAGGCACAATGGGAGGTAAACACGAGGGGATGAGGCACAATGGGAGGTAAACACGGGGGGATGAGGCACAATGGGAGGTAAACCCGGGGGGATGAGGCACAATGGGAGGTAAACACGGGGGGATGAGGCACAATGGGAGGTAAACCCGGGGGGATGAGGCACAATGGGAGGTAAACACGGGGGGATGAGGCACAATGGGAGGTAAACACGGGGGGATGAGGCACAATGGGAGGTAAACCCGGGGGGATGAGGCACAATGGGAGGTAAACCCGGGGGGATGAGGCACAATGGGAGGTAAACACGGGGGGATAAGCAGCATCCCCAAGGGAAGGTTAACATGGGGGGATAAGGCACAAAGGGAGGTAACCACGTGGGGATGAGGCACAATGGGAGGTAAGCACAGGGGGATGAGGCACAATGGGAGGTAAACACGGGGGGATGAGGCACAATGGGAGGTAAACACGGGGGGATGAGGCACAATGGGAGGTAAACACGGGGGGATAAGCAGCATTCCCAAGGGAAGGTTAACACGGGGGGATAAGGCACAAAGGGAGGTAACCACGTGGGGATGAGGCACAATGGGAGGTAAACACAAGGGGGATGAGGCAAAATGGGAGGTAAACACGGGGGGATAGGGCACAATTGGAGGTAACCAGGGAGGATAAGGCAAAATGGGAGGAAAACAAAAGGGATCTGGCACATTGGAGAGGTAAACAGGGAGGTTTAGGCACTTTGAGGAGGTACACAGGGGGGATGAGGCACAAAGGGTAGGGAAACTAGTGGGATATGGCGCAATGGCGGGGTTAATAAGGGGGATAAGTCACAATGGGATGTGAACAAAGGGAATATGGCACGTTGGAGAGGTAAACAGGGGGGACACGGCTCAATGGGGCACTATTGGGCACCATGGCTGGATAGGGCACAATGGAAGGTAAACACGGGGGGACAAGGCACGATGGAATGTAAACACGGATGGACAAAGCAAATGGGAGCTAAAAACGGTGCATAAGGCACAATGGGTGGTAAACAAATGGGATGTGGCACATTGGGGAGGTAAACAAAGGGATAGGGCACATTGGGGACGTGGACATGGGGGGTAAGGCACAAAGGGTAGGTAAACTAGTGGGATATGGCACAATGGGTCGGTTTATAAGAGGGATATATCACAATGGGGTGGTAAGCAAGGTATAAGGCACAATGGGGAGGTACACAGTGGGGACAAGGCACATTGCGGAGGTAAACAGGTTGTAAATGGCACATTGGCGAGATACAGAGGGGAGGTAACGAGAAGCTATCACTGAAAGCAAACATCACGTTTCAAAAAAACAGAACTGACGTACATGGCTACCATACATAAATCTAAAAAGAAGAGGCCTAGAGAGTCACCACCATGCCACAAACATATATGAGCAGTGCATGGTGGCGGTTTAGTAAAACGTACCTTTCAGAATATTCTTGAAGAGCTCTCAAAGATTGCTCGGTGTGCGACGGAGCGTAGCAGGCAAGGTACCACGTGAGATATGCTCTGATTGCCTCTAGCTGAGAGGCACCCAGTTTGTCTGCCACTAAGAAGATGAGAATCTGGGGTAGGAGAACGAAGCATACGGGAACATAGAGGGCATCTAGTGTGTTGAAGATCAGAAACCGTGGCATGCAAGGCCAGCACTCATTGCAAATCCGAGGTGTTAGACACCCAACACAGTCACATTACCCACCTGCATCACAGCTCTGTGTTCAAATGCTGCAGTCTGAGCACCCGACACGAAATACTCGTTGGATGGCAGCCGCATACTGCTGATTCGGGTCACTCCCCTGAGCTCTTTCAGCCGCCTGCACCACAAACATGCAGTATGATTTGGAAATGGAACAGAGACACTATTATAGGTGCTTTCATAGGATTCAACAGAACCAACAAAAACAAAACACAAAGCTACTCACTGGTCCAGAGTGGGCAGCGATGCAGGAATCAGCATCCGAATGCTCCTCACGATGTGGTCCAGCAATCCGAGGTCAGCTTGGTGCATTATATCCGGCATCACTGCCAGGTACGGATTGCCCCATAGCGTTCCCTCGACGGTCCACATCCAAAGCGCACACTACAGGATAGGATTAAGAGAACAGGAGAAGCCACAGAGGGGAAACCTGTAAATTTCCAGAGTCTAGGTGCTCTGGTTCACGGTAGTACTACAACAACCCTAAATCGTCAGCCAGAGGACAACAACCTAGGAGTCAATTGGATAAGAGCAGTGGGGATATGAGCAGTGGGGATATGAGCAGTGGGGATATGAGCAGTGGGGATATGAGCAGTGGGGATATGAGCAGGAGGGATATAATCAGTGGGGAAATAAGCAGTGGGGACATAAGCAGTGGGGATATGACCAGTGGGAACATGAGCAGTGGGGATATGAGCAGTGGGGATATGAGCAGTGGGGAGATAAGCAGTGGCGATACAAGTAGTGGGGATATGAGCAGTGAGAATATGAGCAGTGGGGATATAAGCAGTGGGGATATGAGCAGTGGGGATACAAGCAGTGGGGATATGAACAGTGGGGATACAAACAGTGGGGATACGAGCAGTGTGGATATGAGCAGTGGGGATATAAGCAGGAGGGATATAATCAGTGGAGAAATAAGCAGTGGGGACATAAGCAGTGGGGATATGACCAGTGGGGATATGACCAGTGGGGATATGAGCAGTGGGGATATGAGCAGTGGGGATATGAACAGTGGGTATATGAGCAGTGGGGATATAAGCAGTGGGGATATGAGCAGTGGGGATACAAGCATAGGGGATATGAACAGTGGGGATACAAACACTGGGGATATGAGCAGTGGGGATATAAGCAGGAGGGATATAATGAGTGGGGAAAAAAGCAATGGGGACATAAGCAGTGGAGATATGACCAGTGGGGATGTGAGCAGTGGGGATGTGAGCAGTGGAGATATGAGCAGTGGGGATGTGAGCAGTGGGGATATGAGCAGTGGGGATGTGAACAGTGAGGTAGGAACACGACCTGCGTCGCCTCAACGTACGTCAACATCAAATGTGGAAAACCGCTTCAAGCTCGATTCCCCACGTGGACGAGTCGTCGGAAGGGGTTGATCTCGAATCAATTATTGCAGCTCCGGCGTGCGCATGTTGTTCTCGAGGTGGACGGATGACAAGTTCTCCTGGCAACGAATACACAACGCACCAACATCAAAGCAGAAAGGGTATGGGGAGGACGGTTCAAAGATGTAAGGAAGAAACAAGGCACCAGGATGACTAATGCATGTGCAAAGCCAACGTCAATGGACAGTACAACCGCAATGGTCCCATCGAGAAAGGGCTGAGAGAAGCATGATTGATAAACCAGGCTACACTAGGCAGCGTTCAAAAGTTTGCATGGAAGTGCGGCACCACACCTTGTCCACATAGCAAAGGCTGCATGGCTTGCTGCACCCCTGCCCGGATAGCGTGCCGGTGACTTTCCCTGACTCAGGGTAGTCACACGCCCAGCCGTAAAACATGGGGATTACGTTGTGCAAATCGCCGTCGGCATCCTCTAGCATTACCCCTCTGCGTTCGGGTGGAGGTAGAGTTGAGCATGAGGGGGCAGAAGCAGCATGCAACTGAGGATCGGGTGAATGACCAGTAGACAAGTGACCATGGGAGGTACTTCTGAACGTGCAGATGACAAACGGGAAAAAACAGCACTGGCCGAGTGGGCAAGGTAGGGGGGGATTCTTCAGCATTGCACGAGTAGACAGGGGGAGGGGGGGGGGTTCAGCATTGGGCGATTGAGCAAGGGGGGGGGGGGGGGGGGGGGGGGGGATTCAGCATTGGGCGAGTGAGCAAGGGGGGGGGGGGGGATCAGCATTGGGCTAGTGAGCAAGGGGGGGGTGGGGGGGGGGGATCCAGCATTGGTCGAGTGAGCCAGGGGGGGGGGGGGGGAGGGACGAGGGTGGGTGATGGGGGCAGCGTACTTCGTGTCAGCAAGTGGTGGGGGTGTGGGGGTCCAGCATTGGGCGAGTGAGCAAACCTTTCTTTGGCCTGTCGAATAGGTTCCATTATCTTGGCGATGCATTTGTTGAAAAGCTCCGTCTTCACTCGAGGCGGCATTCCCTTGGGGGGGATGGGCAATAACGCCAGCAGCGAATGCCCCGCTTTCCCCCACCGTTTGGGCAACGGAATGTTGGCGAGAGTCATCATTACTGGGTGCGCCTTCTTACGCCCGTTGTTGCTCAGGTGTGTCACGTCACTGTAGAATAGCAAGGCCGCAATAACCACCTCTGGTCCGACAAAAGCCTGCCACAAGATAATAGGGGTAAAAGTTGGACCATTCCACAACCAATACAAGGGTAACACGCCATGGTCCATTCAAGTCATTTGACTACAACTTGCACTTTCGAAACATAAGCATAAACTACAATGCGGTGCCAAAAACATGATCTAGGGTCCACAAAGGTCAGTACCTGCGCTTCATTCCACCATGTGCCAGTTTCAGCCGTTGTGTAGGTTCGCTCGTTTGTGTCTCCGTCAACAACGACTTTAGGCCTGAAGCGGAAGCCCTTGGCATTGTGTTGGTGGCCAAACATTCGTGCCAGTTCCTGGAAGCGAATAGTAATGAAACCGGGTCAGAAGGTTGCATAGCAAGGGAATGTAAACTTAATAGGGAATGTAACCCTAGAATGGGGGAGAGAAATGGAACACAAGCAAAAACGTATGAGACCGAAACATTCTACAAAACATTGTTATAAATGAAGGGAACACAGGCAGTAAGTTATGACAGCAAAACAGCATATACAACAGGGCTGGAGAGGAAGGTAAGATGAGGAGAAAAATATGAGCGCAAAGCAGCTCCGACGGAATGGTTGGTCGGAGAGCGGGGTCTCACAAACAGTAAGGAGAGAGTGCAAAACAGCATACAACACTGGGTTGTAGAGGAAGAGAACACCAGCATTACGGTATGGTAACAAATCAGCAAAGGAAACAGGGTTGGTTTGAGAGCAATTGAACACAGGCACTAAGGTGTGAGAGCAAAACAGCAAAGGAAGCAGGGTTGTAGAGGAAGGGAACACGAGAATCAAGGTATGGGAGCAACAGAGCATGGGAAACAGGGATTGTTTGAGCACAAGCAGTAAGGGTGAGTGGAAAACAACAGGGTGGGAGATGATGGGTACTATCAGAGAAAAGGTATGAGAGCAACACAGCTTAGAAAACATGCCTGGTCGGATAGCACTTGAACAAAAGCAGTTAGGTGTGTGTGCAAAACAGCATACAAAACATAATCGAGAGGAAGGGTGCATCAACTTGTGAGGTATGAGAGCGCTTCAGAACAGACGCTCAGTTGAAAGGGAGATTGAACTAAAGCAGTGGGGTATGAGATGTAATCAGCATAGATAAGAGGGCATGGGAGAAATAGCACACACATATTACAGATTATGGAAGTTAGTGAACACAAGCAATAGCGTATGAGAGCAGCATCACAGAAAACATGGTTGTATAGCAAGGTCACGCGCATGAAGACTAGCATAATTGAAAATGGGGGTGGGAGAGATCAGAAACATGGAACTATGGCTCACCCGCATGATGTCCCGGTGGTAGAGAACTTGTGGTGGGTAGCCCTCGACGACGAAAGTTGTGGTGAGGAATCCTCTTCCGGTGCCCGCGATATACTCGAGCTGAAGGCGCTCCAGGTCTCGGCATGTCCGCATATTCTCAGCAACTAGCACGTGCGCCAACTCGGGAACAAGCAGCAGTTGTATTAGTTTGCCCTTGTCCATCTTCGATAGGCTCATTCCCCCATTGGCGGTGTCCACAAATTCCAGCAGCTTCAGCAGGGCGGGGTGCCAGTTGACTCGCGGTCCAGGAGGAGTGGCACCAACGTCTGATTCCACGATGCCACTGGAGCAGGAGGTGTTAGCAACCCTCGACGGGGATGGGGTGCCCTCTCCGTCAGAACCCGCACCCTCACTCTCCTCCGTGCGCTCGCTTTGCATCTCCTCCGTGCGCTCGCTTTGCATCTCCTCCGTGCGCTCGCTTTGCATCTCCTCCGTGCGCTCGCTTTGCATCTCCTCCGCACCTCCGCCGTCCATCTCTTCGGTGCCCCGGTTGACACTCGGGAGAACGTTTGGTGAAGTGCTGCCTCCATTTTCGGTTTGTGCTCGATCGTCACCAGAGTCGTCAGTGGCGCCGCCGACTGGGGAACGACGTCCGCGACATGGGATGAAAAAAACCACTCCACCACGCCGATCGAAACGGGCAGGGGCGGGTGCACTATAGTGCCCCTCATAGCACTGCGTGTTGCCTGCTAGATGCCTCCCCAATGCTTGCGTGTTCTCAAAACGAGCACTACAGAACCTACACCTCACGAAGGTGGGACAGTCCATCCCTTAGGTCGTTCTAGTACGAGTTCAGACGAAGTGTGCAACTGATTCTGACTGCATTGCGGTTTGAGAGCCTCACATCAACGGCATCCTTTGGGCGTAGCGCTACGCCGTCATAAGGATAGTACCAAGTGACAACACCCGAGGCGTATCGATCGCCTATGCATCATCAATCAGCCAACCCCTGTCGGGTCGCGCTCGTTACACTGTGGGAAAACCATGGCGGGAATGACCTAAAACGAAAGTGGCTTTTGCAGCGCTGGTTGCCAAGACACTCTGCTTCGAATTAGGTTTTTGAAACTGAACTTTCGAAGGTTGGGGACCAGTACTCTTCACTTGAGATTGGTTTACTGTTATAACCATAGATGCTTTGTAAAATTGTTGGTTTAAAAAAACCATAGAGAGTTCCTTCACTAATGACTACTCGGACGTTGGTGACCTTCAAACCACGGCAACATAGGACTTCAATACAATAACGTATCTTCCGACGCATGAGTACTGATTGTTCACGACCAAATCACGTTGTGACCTATCCTTGCATCGTGTGCAACAGTGATCTGATCTGCGCAGCGTCAACGCCACCGACGTTGTCCGAACGCCCTCATATCCTGTTGGTATCCTTGTTGTAGCATGATGATCGAATTATGCAACCAAATACGCATGCGAAAACCGTTTGGACCTCTGTCGACATGCAAAACCATTCCTCGCATGTTTGTCATTGTCGACAGAGGTCCTAACGGTTTTCGCACGCGTATTTGGTTGCATCATTCCATCAAGCATGCTATAACAAGGATACCAACAGGATATGAGGTCGTTCGGACAGCGTCGGTGGCGTTGACGCTGCGCGGATCAGATCGCTGATGCAGACGACGCAAGGATAGGTTGCGGGGGTATGTCGTTGTCGAAAGAGGTCCTGACGGTTTTCGCACGCTCATTTGATCGCATCATTCCACCAAGCATACTATAACAAGGATACCACTATGAGGTCGTTCGGACAACGTCGGTGGCTTTGACGCTGCGCGGATCAGATCTCTGATACAAATGACGCAAGGATAGGCTTTGGAGGTTCGTCGTTGTCGACAGAGGTCCTAACGGTTTTCGCACGCGTATTTGGTTGCATTATTCATTCAAGCATGCAACAACAAGGATACCAACAGGTTATGAGGCCGTTCGGACAACGTCGGTGGCGTTAACGCTGCGCGGATCAGATCGCAGATGCAAACGATGCAAGGATAGGTTGTGGAGGAATGTCGTTGTCGACAGAGGTCCTGACGGTTTTCGCACGCTCATTTGGTTGCATCATTCCATCAAGCATGCTATAAGAAGGATACCAACAGGATATGAGGTCGTTCGGACAACGTCGGTGGCGTTGACGCTGCGCGGATCAGATCGCTGATGCAAACGACGCAAGGATAGGCCGTGGAGGTTCGTCGTCGTCTTCAGAGTTCCAAACGGTTTTCGCAAGCGTATTTGGTTGTGTCATTCCATCAAGCATGCTATAGCAACGATACCATCAGGATATGAGCCTGTTCGGACAACGTCGGTGGCGTTGACGGTACACGGATTAGATCGCTGTTGCAAACGATGCAAGGATAGGCTGTGGAGGTTCGTCGTTGTCGTCAGAGTTCCTAACGGTTTTCACACGCGTATTTGGTTGCATCATTCCATCAAGCATGCTCTAGCAACGATACCATCAGAATATGAGGAGATGCGGACAACGTCGGTGGCCCTGACTCTGCGCGGATCAGATCGCTAATGCAAACGATGCAAGGATAGGTTGCGGAGGTTCGTCGTTGTCGACAGAGGTCCTAACGGTTTTCGCACGCTCATTTGGTCGCATCATTCCATCACACATGCTATAAGAAGGAAACCAACAGGATATGAGGCCGTTCAGACAACGTCGGTGGCGTTGACGCTGCGCGGATCGGATCGCTGATGCAAACGATGCAAGGATAGGCTGTAGAGGTTCGTCGTTGTCGTCAGAGTTCCTAACGGTTTTCGCACGCGTATTTGGTTGTGTCATTCCATCAAGCATGCTATAGCATCGATACCATCAGGATATGAGGCTGTTCGAACAACGTCGGTGGTGTTGACGCTACACGGACTAGGTCGATGTTGCAAACGATGCAAGGATAGGTTGCGGAGGTTCCTCGTTGTCGACAGAGGTACTGGCGGTTTTCGCACGCATATTTGGTTGCATCATTCCATCAAGCATGCTATAGCAACGATACCATCAGGATATGAGGAGATGCGGACAACGTCGGTGGCGTTGATGCTGCGCATATCAGATAGCTGATGCAAAAGATGCAAGGATAGGCTGTGGAGGTTCCTCGTTGTCGATAGAGCTACTGGCGGTTTTCACACGCGTATTTGGTTGCATCATTCCATCAAGCATGCTATAACAAGCCCACCATCAGAGTATGAGGCTCTTCGGACAACGTCGGAGTCGTCTGCACTGCGCGGAACAGATCGCTGATGCAGCCGGCGCAAGGATAGGCTGCGGAGGTTCGTCGTTGTCGACAGAGGCCCTGACGGTTTTTGCACGTGCATGTAGTTGCATCAATACATCAAGCATGCTATATCAAGGCCACCATCAGGAGAGGAGGTTATTCGGACAACATCAGAGGCGTTGACGCTGCGCGCAAAAGAGCGCAGTTGCAAACGGTGCAAGGATAGGCTGCGGATGTTGGTTGTTTCCAAACAACCTCCCGGGCGACAGGCCGCATGATAATCCCCGATTTTGTAATTTCTACATACTTCTAGCCGCCTTGGGGGTACAATGCTACCATCATCAAAGGAGATGCATCACATAGGTGTTGTCAGTAGAAGGTTGTTTCATAGCTATATCGATTATACGTTTTTATCGGATCAATAGTAACGAAACCCTAAACGGTCAAGTGGTTACAGAACCTCTGTGACTGGTCATAGCGCATGAAGGGTCCCAAACAGACCAAATCGCAGACGAATCAGAAGTGGGAGAGATTCACTCGTGCACGAGTCGTGAATGTGATGCAGCTACAATATTGTCGCGCTGGCAAGGAAGAAGCCGACGATTTGGTGATGGAGCTTCACATTCTGCACTCGACTTGATGCTGCGTGTGGTGGTGGTGTCAATGAACAGTGAAGCAGGCAGAATGTGCTGGCATTGCTGTACTACTGTGACAACACTGTTAATCAACCATGGAGCAAGTCTCCCACAGTCCTAGATCAGCAAAAAAGATGGGTGGGGTGTGTTGGTTTTGTCGTCTCTTTCAAACTATTTTTTTGTCGGAATGATAAAACAACTTATTTTGAAATGTATAACTTTCCTCCCGACAACAAAGGCTTTCATATATGTTGTACTTTTTTTTTCTCAAAGTAAGGCCCGCTTTGGAAAAGACGCGTTGGTTCGCATCTGGGGGGGAGGGGGAGGTGGGTGTGTAAACGCGTGAACTGTTTGCCTGGTTGCGAGTTTTGTTTGCCAGCATTTGAGCAGTTGCGCTGGAGTTGCCAAAGCCAGCGCAACTGCGTTGTGCTAGAGCTGCCAATCCCAGCGCAACAACGCAGCACTGGAATTGCCAAACCCACACACCTGCGCAGCGCGCAATTGCTGCATCAACCAGCAATTGAGCAACTTCGCTGGGGTCGCCAAACCCGTCGCAACTTCGTGAGAGAATTGCCGCGGCGCGGGTTTAGGTCTCGCGAATTTTTTTCATCGCGCTAAATTTTTTTCACAACCCAAAAGGCACACGCCCCACCTTTTATCGCGAGCGGCGCGCGCTCCCCGGATTTAGCTTCATTTAAACACTATAAGGCCTTTTTTTCGGGGGTTCCAAAATGTCAGTGGGCAGTTTGCTGGTTGACATCTAGCTTACCTGCCACGTAGTTTCATCCTATTGGGCATTTCGTTCCTGACACTGATGAAGTCGGTTCGGCGTATGTGTGGCGCGTCCAGGTTCGGCAATCAGTTTCGGTTCAGAACTGTGGGGGAATGGAGGTTTGTGGGGTTGAACGTGGCGAAACAAGACTGGCGAGTGTTATTTAGCCATTCTTTCGGGCGTGCCACGCGGTTCTACATAAACGTAACGTGGACCCTGCGCTACACAACTTCATCTGTCGGGCGACTCGGTTCGATTCTGACGTTCTGAACTAGATTCCACGTGCAAGTACTTGCGTCAGACACGTCATGCAAGAATGCATGCGAATCGTTGTGTTGGCGGGCGATCTGCGAGTTTTTGAACGATCCGTGTAATTTTGCCATCATCGCGAAACTTTTACCATATACATGCCACAAGGCGACGTGTGATTGGGTACAGTGTGTTCAGAATCTGATAATAAACGCGCCAGCGAACATAACACGATTCAGGCGCCGCGAGTTCTGACGATTCGCACCGGTGGCAGCCGCTGCCAGTAAGTTGGCACCTGGGACTGTCAACTGAATTATTGTTGTTCCTAGCTGTTGTACGAATTTGTCAGGGTTTCCGAGTCCACCGTATTCGTCTCACCAGAGACAGTTCTACATGGCGTACACATGTGTTGGCGTCTCGCCGTTAAAAAGCGAGGCCACCAGATGACCATGTATATATAGCGAGGGGATAACCTAGGTGTTGTATCAGATACACGATGGAGGAACCTCCGGCTAATGGCCGTGACATGTATGACATTATACTGGAGAACTTCGACGTAGAGTTTGAACCCGAAGAGGGGCCTACTATCAATGACAACGCTGCCATTGAGGAGGGTAACTGGTACTCCTCGCGAGATCATTGCCTCTATGCTTTGCTTGATGCTGCGGTGACTCATAAATACGGTTTCTACATGAAGTCTACCAGGAAGGCATCGGCGCTAGCATTGTGCAAGAGTCAGAAGCTTGGGTTGGACCCCCCTTGTCCATGGCGGTGCAGCTACGCGCGTCTCCAGCGGAACGGACCGTGGCGAATCGTGGAGCTGTCCGATCCCGCAGAGCACACATGCGACCGCCGCATGCGGGCCCGGTGGTGGCCGAGTATGGGACGTAAGAGGAAGTACCTTTGGCGGAAATTCGGCAACTTCGTCCATGCAGCGCCGTTTAACGCCCCTTGGGACTACGCCAAGCAGATCCAGGCCTGCTATGGCCCGAAGTTAACTTACAACAACGCCTACCGGTGAGAGTACACCCGTCATAGGCCGTACATCAGGGGATCTTCTCTGTTACAGCCAGTGTTGCCTCCACTTCACTCGTGTCCCGATACCACCCATACATTCCTCCCACGCAGGCTGAAGGTAGGCATCACGGCGCAGCGATTCGGCGACTGGTGCGAGTCTTTCCGCTACATTCCGGCGGTGCAAGAGCGCATTCGGCGGATCGACAGCGGAGCAACCGTGGAGCTTCTGACGTGCAACCACGAATTTCTCCGCTTCTTCATGGCGCCGAGTGCAACACGCGAAGCGCTGAAGACCTGCAGGCCTGTCATCGCAATGGACGGGACGTTCCTGATCCGTGCTCAGAAGGCTACCCTGCTGTACGCCAACGCGATGGACGGCAATCAGCAGATCATCCCCATCGCGTGGGCCCTCGTAGAGAGCGAAACCAAGGACACATGGACGTGGTTTTGCCGTCTCTTTGACAAGCACTGCTCCGACTGGAAGGGACGGGACGACGCGGCCATCATCAGTGACCGGGACAAAGGTCTCATCCCGGCGGTGAAGGAAGTGTTCCCTGAGACTCCGCACTACTTTTGTGGGTGGCACATGCAGCAGAACGTGAAGCGGTTCGGGAAGACCTCCTCGGACATGTTGTGGCGGCTTTTGACAGCCCGGACATTGGAGAAGTACAACGAGCTCAAGGTCGGTGTACGGGAATCCCATCCCCTGCTCACGACTTACCTCTACGGTCCGGCGCCTGTGGCCGATGCGGTCGGTCCAAACCCCACTCCACCAGCTGGTTTCAGTATTCGCCGCCGCAACGTGCAGCAAACACGCCGGACGCGTGCGACCGCCAACAACATTGCGGCCGAAGCGGCTGAAGCACGGCGTCGTGCTCGCCAGGCACTGTCGCAGCGAAGCGGCCGCCGACAGAGACAGAGCGGCGCAAGACGACCACCTCCGAATGCCGCGGCGGCGGGGCCGTCCGGAGCGCCCCGGCCGTCCACAGCACCGTCGTCCGCTGTTGCGACCCGCCCCGCCGCTGCACATGCATCATCCGCCACGCCAGGCCCGTCTGCAACGCCAGGGCCGTCCGCAGCGCCCCGCCCTTCCATAGCACCGTCGCCCGCTGCTGCGACCCGCCCAGCCGCGGCACATGCATGGTCCGCCACGCCAGGCCCGTCTGCAACGCCAGGGCCGTCCGCAGCGCCACCCCCATACGCAGCACCGTCCCGCGCTTCTGCGACCCACCCTTCAGCTGCACCAGCATCTTCCGCATCGCCATGTGGACCCGCAGACCCGATGCCCACCGCAACCCCTCGCCCGGCCACTACTGAAGGACCATCCACAACGCCGTCACCAACCACTCCGTACGACCCATCTGATGCAACAGGTGCGTTTGAATAACGTGTTGTCAATACGCCCTTCCTGTTGTTATGTGTGCTCGTGACGACTATATGCAACCCGTACCCACGCCACAGTTTGTGTGAGCGCTCCTACACTTTCTGGCGTCTTAACTTGATAAAGTACTGCGCAGTTGGTACCGCAACTCACATAGCCACAACGGCCTTTCCCGTGTCCATGTTGCAGCCCATCTTGCCGGAACAACCACACCTTCTTCTTCCCAGCCGGCGCCACCTACACTGCGACGTTCTACACCGATCGTGGTGCCGAGCGGATGGCGAGGAATAGCTGCGTGCTTCAACTTTGGCAACATTGTTCTGAGAGCTGCGGTCCCGGGAGTCACCGCACCAACTGAGGCACCAACCCGAGAGCCACCTCCGACCGCGGCACCCGCCCGCCAGCCACCACCGACCGCGGCGCCCGCCCGCCAGCCACCACCGACCGCTGCACCCGCCCGCCAGCCACCACCGACCGCGGCAGCAACACGTGACACTCCTCCTACAACTGTGGACCCGGGACCCGCGGTTGGGAACACCAACGAGGCTATTCCCAGCGTGGTAGAGGACGAGGCGACCGTCGTGGAAGAGGGCTCCCTGGAGGACGGTGAGGATGGTGTCCGGGTCTGAACCGGCCTTCGCGGTGATTACGCTGCACGCAGGAACAGAATCTGGGTGTACGAGAAGCAATGGGCTCGATGTGCGGCCCCAACGCGGAGATTCGGCATCTACACGAGCAACATGGCGGAGTCGACCAACGGGGCCGTAAAATCCATCCGCCGCCTTCCACCAGCGTATCTGTTAGCTTCAATGTGGGACTACAACGTCAAAAAGTTTCACGAGCGGCGTGAGGAGGCTAGAGCCCGGGACGACTACTTAACGGAGTGGGGGAGAAAACGATATGAGGCGAAGTGCGAGCGGGCAAAGAACTACGAGGTGAAAATCTCCCACATCGAGTTCCTTGCGGAGGTGATAAACAACGGCAACGCGGAGGACACCACCCCCCGAAGCTACAACGTCGACCTACGTGGCGAGGGTAGCTGTGAGTGCGGCAATTGGAAAGAGTACGCTTTTCTATGCGCACATGCCATGGCGTTTTTCCCCATGGCGAACAAAAACGGGTGGGAGTATGTCAGCGACTACTACACCACAGTCAACCTCCGCGTAACATACTCCCACGCCATTCCCGGTACCTGCATCGACACCCTGATGGCACAGACAACACCTGTGCCTCAAGGCGTGTGTGACGCACCTACATTCACTCGTAGGGGTCCTGGCCGTCCCCCGTCCAACAGGCGCAGGGATGCTCCGCCGGCGAACTATCGCTGCCGCACCTGCTTGGGGCGTAACCACAACTCAGCGACATGCACCCAGAAGTATGGATCCGACAGGGCTGCGGGAGGTGTGTACCACACGGTAGGTTGAGCTTTGGTGATCGTACTGACTTGGAGCAAGCAGCCGCACAGTCGTACATTAGAATAGTGGCCGCCATAAATTTATAATGTAGCTGGCATGTGTGGTTCAGCACCTAGCTAGCCCACATCTGTAGGGGTCTTAGGGTTGACATGTTGGATTACGTAATAGTGCTACGTAAGAATTTGTTATTTGGTAGAGAAGACCATCTAACAAACCTTCGATGCTAAAAAATATAAGACCAACGGCCTGCAACCCCAATGATCTCCTTTGCTCACATATGTTTGGGACCCCATCGTATCGAGCATTACTTACGCGAAATGCTAAAAAACAGAGACAGTACGAGTTGTGTAATCGAAAATCGGATTGGTTGTTGATCATGATCGTAATTAACAGTTACAAACACAAACGTCCTGAACAAACGCAAAAAAACACCGATGCTTTTTCGTTAATGATCCAGATGTTGTTTAACACAAACAACGCCCAGGGGCACATGATGCATGCTCATACTACCTAACCAGGTCATTCGTGCCCCATTACCGCCTACAACCAGTGCATGCCGCAGGCTCATAAAACCCATAGTTCGCATGGGACCAGAATCGAATATACTGCAATGTTTATTTGTGGGAGCATCAACCGGAGCGGTAGGGCGACCGGTATGTTAATTAACGCACAGCGTGAATCGGATATTAGCCTGACGAATTCCACGACATATCACGGTCCACGTGGATAACACCGCAAATCATTCGAGGGGACGTGCCAAGTGTACGTCGCAGCCTCGCATCAGTTGTATTGAACCTGGAGACGCGCGTTCGGATGTGTCATTACGTTTATTAACAAAATAAATAGCACAGCGCTAACAAGTATTGGCACGCCTAACGGAGCCGGATCTCGAAACGTGCGGAAACACACTATCGATCGGTATGTCTGCTTGCGTGAACTGGTTTGGTTTGTGTTCATTAGCACAACAAAATGGAACGACCTTAAAACACACAACGTTAAAATGGCATACCCTGGTCACACAAAACCTTGAATCCCACGGTGCCATTTAGTTTTGCAATTGGGTATAGGCAAGGTTGTTGCAGGACCGTTTCCTAACATGCTAAGGCAAGGTCAGATGGCATACAGATTCCCGCCTACAACCAGTGCTTGCCCCGCGCGACAACTATGCTACCACACCAGTTGGCCCTCAAAAGTGAAGGACGGTTAAAAACAAAGGGTGACACGAAGCCACACAGAGAGCTAAACTCGCATGGCTGGGAAGAGGTGCAACGGCACCTCCCAAAGTAGATGGCGCCCCACCAGTGAACGCTACGTGCGGAGTGGTTATGCAACATCCTCTCTTGAGCCACGCATGTAGTGTTCCTGCTCAACACGTGCGTAAACAGGGCAAATGTTAGTACAGTGAACCCGAGCAAGACATGACCAACCGATGCATGAATCTTACTCTAGTCGTCGTCATCGCGCACCCATAACTGGGCAGGTTGATCCCCATGAGTTTCCGTCACTATGTCCGCGGCTTCGCCGTGGAGCACGCCGGCAACGCCTCCAGCGGTGGTGGGCGCACGACGATCGGGAGGCGGTGCAGACTCCCCGCGTGTTGGAGGCTGTATGGGGCTATTCCCTCCAACGTGCACATGGGATGGCGCTGATAGCGCCATTCGCTCGCGGGCAATGCGCAAATCCTGCGTCATCCACTCACGGACGAGTCCCTCGATGCGTGAGAGTGCGTCCACATGACATTCTTTGATGGTCGCGCAGACAAGCAAGGCGGCTTGCATCGTCGCCGTCTCATGCACCCGGGCGCGCCTAGGTGTAGCCGTGGTTTGCGGCGGCGGAGCTGTGACAGGGACGTAATGTTGCACGCATGGTGTGAGGTGTACAAATGAAACAACACGAGATTTCAGGGTCATGCTGCAAGTCCAAACGCATGTTATGAGATGTAGAATTGAAACACCATGAGATTGCAGGTTCGAGATTGCATGTGTATGATGGTTTCACCCAAATGTTCACAAGGCTCACACCTGTGAAGGTAGGTGTCGACGTGATAGGCTGAGAGGAGCTTGGTACATCCATGCCGGCCACCTTGTTGGCGTTCGTGGCGCCGCCTCCGTCATCTCCGTGCGCACCGGATGCTCCGGTGGATAAGTTGTATAGCTCCATGTATGGCCACCACGGCGGTTTCTCGTAGGATGACTGGCCCTCGTGATCCATTTGTTTGTACTCGTCCCACGCAACCATCAAGTTGCGCCACTGCTTCTGCAGAGCATTGACGTTCCTGCACCAACCCGGATTAGCCTCCGTGATGTGATCGAGCAGGCTGACCCAGTATTGCGTTCCCTGCTTGCCCTTGAGTGGCTCGAGCTTATCTTTGGTATACCACCGAGCCGCGGCCAAAATAGTGCTTTCCTTGTCAGTCCACGCTCCCCTCTCGACCGGTGCAGCGGCCCGCTTCTTCCGGGCCTCCTGCCGAGGCGGTGGTGCAACCGCCTTGCCTTTGCCTTTCCTTGCGCCAACCCCGCGTGCGGAGCTCCGTTTCGGCGGGGCAATCACGGGTTGCGCATGCCCCGCCGCGTCGCCGCGTGCGTCGTTGTCGTCGCCGTCATCGTCGGTAGGGGACATGCCAAGATCTTCAGGCTCGACATCCTCTTCGTCGGTGCCTTCGGCCTCGCCTTCGTACTCGTCATCCTCGTCGTCGTCAACTTCTTTCTCCGCAAACGGACGTACTGGTGCGGCGGTTCTGGTAGGCTGCCTGCGCACGCGCGAAGGACCCGAGCTGGGAGAAGGTGCACTGGAACCCTGCCCGTCACCCGCATGCGGCGGCCGTATGTCCGTCAATGGTCGGTTTTTTGCGATCTGGTCGTTGATCCAGCGGATGTAAGGTATTTCATTGAGGTCCTTTGGGCAGTCGTTAAGGGACTGTCCCTTACGCTTGCGCCCCATTCCGAATACTGTGCTACGTAATGGAAACTAGATCCAGGAACCGAGTTTGCTCAACGGGAAGAATTGACAAGGTACTGAGGACAGCTGCGCCCTTATGTGCCAGTCATGTGATTCGAGCAAGAAGCTTTGAGGGGGATAAATGTTGGTCCAGTGGCGAAAGGTACACCTCCGATTGGTTGCGCGCCACTGTCAATAATCTGGGATGCGTCCAATCGACCAATCACCCTGCTTATGACTGCTCGCACGCGGATTCACTAGCCTGATCAATGTCGACAAGGTACAGTCACCCTGGGTGGGACATGTCGCCTCACGTGCGAAACTGGCGAACCGAGCCAATCACGTACGCATGTCACGACGTCCAATGGTTTTGGACGTTGGCGAAATTCATTTTGGGCCAGGTACATGACAGCGTGGCGTTTGAGCAAGATGTACGCATAAAAAACAGATGGTCAAAGTGTTTGGCTTTCGGATTCAGCCACGCAATGTACACTCCTATACAATTTGGATGAGTTTATTAACACCCTACTTCTGATATGTTCATTGTTGTAATGACATTGCTTGGAATGTTGCTGATGATCTTACCAACCGATATGTTCATTGTTGTATTGACATTGCTTGGAATGTTGCTGATGAACTAAATAAATGAATTGGGGTATACGAAGCGTCCCCCGCTAGATGTTTGTAGCGCAGAATCAACGCAGGTATGTTCACATGAAGTTAGGTTGTTTGGTGTGCCCGCGGTCTCAGTAACAGAGCTATTAAATACCTTAAACTTCTATCTTTCAATCATCTTGTTCTCTTTCAACTATTATTCAACAAGGTCACTACAGAGACTCCACATTCTCAGCTCAGGCTTAACACATTCTATCCTATCCACTGATCCTTTGGTTGTATCAGCAGTCGTTACCCTTGACGATGCGGCTATCGTGCGTTTGTTAACTGACTGCGACATGTTAACTGGCGGGAATAACAATAGTCGTGGTTACAGCGGCTATGCACCACAGTTCAAAAGGGAATGTACTCCTCTTAATACATGGCAGGACCGGTTTGCTGATTAGTTCCATGTATTCATATATTTTGTTCATGTAGTTTTCTTTCAAATATTATTCAACAAGACGGGCTAACAACCAGATTATAGAGAAGACCTGGAAGTTTGTGTGGTATACCATACGGGAAAGGGTTGGCTCGGCTTATTTGCTCGGATCACTCAAATCATCTGTGTGTGTGTTCTTAATGGGCGTGCTGGTGGTGTTTTCTTGATGTAAATGCTGTTGCCTTTTCTACCTACCTCTACATGTTTCTCTTCCTCCTACCGTTTTCCCCCCAATTCCCAACCTTTTCTCTTCTTCTATCATTTTTCCAACGCATGGTATTCCTTCTTTTCGTGTCCATTTACGCTTCCACCTATATTCCTTGCGTAATTGCACTACATTGTACTATTTCATGTAGTAAGTTTGCATTCCTAGAATTATAACAGAGAAAAAACATATGTGTGTTACGTGTAGTTTGCTCGAGCTGTTACAGTATTCATTCTAGTACATCATGAGGTGGGGTGATTGTATGGCGCGAGGGCCTGTGGTACACTGGAAAAAACATATGTGTGTTACGTGTAGTTTGCTCGAGCTGTTACAGTATTCATTCTAGTACATCATGAGGTGGGGTGCTTGTATGGCGCGAGGGCCTGTGGTACATATTGGGGCTTTTGTTATGACCAATAATGTCATGATTAGCATAAACCTCAGTTCCTTGGACACAGGGAGAACGTCAACTAACGGTGTCTAAGTGATGTTGGTGTGCGATAGTGTCAAGTTTAGTGGTAATCAACACCTGCAGTTCGTCGGTTTTTTTACGGATGCTTGCAATGCCATCCCGGAGCATCTGAACCTCCCGGGTCAGCCTAGCTATCTCCAATCGCTGCGCTAGGTTATGCCGGATTGTGGGAGCTTCGGCCTCCACTGATACGGACCCCTCTTCTTGACACCGACGGTAGGGCCCTTGCGACGGCAGGATGACACCCTCCGCCTGTAGTTGCAGCGGGAGTGCTCCGCACAGAAGTGACGATAGCTGGGATTGTAAGACGACCCGATAGTCCGCCGGGTCCATTTCGAGATACAGAGGCCCCTCAATGTTCTGAAAATCTTGTTTAACTAGGGTACGTAGAAACATGCATGTGTAAATACCACAGTCTTCGCTGCCAAGAGGTTGTTGCGGGATCTCCGATGCCTACATGTGCAACAGGGAGCGTGCGCGTTAGAATCTTAGATAAGCATACAAATGAGACTTCGAGCAAGTCTCCCAGGGGCGCTATGGTACCTGTAAAATGCGCCATTCGACTTGCTGCACCCTGGCCAGACAAGCCTGTGAACATAGTCCAGGCTGGACACGTTGTATCTCCGCGGCGACCAGCCTGCACACAGCGTTGACATCAGGGTGCTTGGTTTGACAGAGATGTGGGTGCTTCATCCTTGGAGTGTCATTGTTATTCGCGTTACCTTTCAATCACGTCCCATTCCGTTCCCGTTTCGCAATGCACTCCCGCAGAATCATAGTGGTAGAATTTCGGCTGGGCCGATGCCCATGGCGGGCTTGGATTTTGCAGAAGTGCTTTTGCGTTCGCGACTATCACCAGGCTGAAATGGAACCTGCACGAAGCATTCTTAGGGCGTTAGTGACGGCGGATATGGTATTGTGCCGTGCTTAGTGACGTAGGTTTAGCAGTGGTTTGTTACCTTCCGGTGACCACGATAGCAACGTGGTCGAAGTCGAGGAACGACCGTTTAGCAGGGCAGCATGAAATGAGCTTGCCATGCTCTGACATATACTCGAAGGCCTTGGAGTCGAGAGCGATCCATGTCTTTCCGTTTCCTTGTAGTGGATGCCGTATGTCAAGCAAGCTGTCAGGGATGTACGAGAAACCATGTTACGTCACCCACATGGCCACTCCGAAAACTCTGCACCAGCTTGATATGCTTACATGTTGTGTAGATCGACTATGTTGTCGTTCACGGCCAGGTACGACGACGACCGATCCAGGTCTGCGCAGGAGACTGAAATGCCAAACGAGTGCCTATTGTAGATACTGCTTGTCTTCGCCTCGTTATGACCGTTGTGGTCAGTCGTAGTGCCGTTCACCCGACCGTCGTGCTCCCCGCCTAATAACACCGAGGATGCTGCACTGCTGCCATCCACTGCACTGTAAGCAGGTTCCGCCACCTGGGGGCTGTATAGAGTAGTGTTCATGATACGTATGCTAATCTAAGCTGAAAGTGTTGTGGTGTGTGCTGGTTATCGTAGCGAGCCTTTGGCAAATGCTAATGATCGAATGTCAGCTGGGTGATGGTGGTCCGTGATATATCTTTGACGTGATATGTATTTGAGCGCTTGTCTGTGTGGTAATCTTCCAGGTGTACATTTAGCGTGGACGTGCAAGGTTCCTCGTTTCTATAATTGCGCGCAATTGTACTGTGTGGTGCACGTTCCGAAACACAGCGCCCACCCGGTGACTTGAGATGCACGACGGCGGTATTCGAGTGTTGTGGTGTTTTCTAACGTGGACCAGTGATGTGCAGGCTGATGTAGCGAAACCTCATGTCCAGAGGGGCGCGGTACAGTATGCAATATACGTTCTGTCTTACGTGTTACCTCGGAGGCCGCACGATGGCGCATGTGGTTAAGGTCAGTTATTTAGCACATCGAGTTATAACCGTTTATTAACACATACACTATTATCTGTTGCCGCACCTTGTTGACGCTACCGTATTATGACTGCAATCGTTCATATCTTTTCGTTTAAACAAAGACTCCGGGCGGTTTGTTGATTTAGCGTCTAAATGTTGCTACAATGCAGAGTTCAGGGTTTTTAGAAAAACCACGCCATAGCATGCTAAAGACTGCTCAACGACCGTGGCATGCCGGCAATGCTATTTCGTCCAGGCCTAAACACCCAACATCTAAACATGCTCAAGCTGCTGTCAAAATGGAGGATTGGTATACTGCAGAATCCGGGACATGGTACGAAGTTTGGTTCCTGCCGCCGATGTATCACACTCTTGCATCATCCAGCTGCGGTGAAAACACACAGGATACCAAGGTCAGAATCAACCGTTTACAACAGGATGCGGCACAAATTAAAGATCGTACCTCAGTTGTAACCCTGATGCTCATCCAAATATTGCGGCTGACCACTATGCGGTCGTGAGTGGCCCATGCCCGGGGGTTGTGTGGCAACGCTGCTGCTCGGCTGTGCTTGCGTGCGCGGGCAGTATGGTGGGGGCGTGCGGAACCTGTAGCAGTGGAGCCGGGGGAAGCTCCGGCATGAGCTGGCGCCATTCGCGCCACCTATGCCAGAGGCCACGCTCGGCGAGGCTCATCACGTGCTGCTTGGTGCACCCTTTGAGCAGCTGGTGCTCCGACGGGGTCAGTTCAATACTGCGCTGGATGCGATAACCCTGCGGCCTTACCACCAGTGCGGCAGCCTTGTATCCCTTGGCTGCCTCCTCCTCGCTCGGGAAAGGGCCCATGCGTATGGGGTTGCCTGGGGGCGGCATCAACAGCTTGGCAACCCAAACATCTCCCTGCGCGGTAACACCTACGTACTTGTTCCTGGGACGTCCGCCGTTGTAGCCATCATTTGTAGCCCCGCACACACCAACCTCGCCTCCAGCGTCGTGCATCCACTCCCCGCCGCCTTCACCCGCGGCACTCATACTCGGGATGGCGGGCGGTTGGAACGACTGCTGCGGGGGGGGTGCGGGCTGCGGGGGTCCTCCTTGCCAGAAGAAGGGCATCCCGGGCGGTGGAGCATAAGGTGGCCCGGCAGAGAACCCTGGGTATACGGGACCTGACAGGGGAGGCGCAGGTGGGAGTGGAGCGATCGGTCTCTGCGGCGGGGCAGCGCGGGATGTGCCCGGACGATAGTATGTCGCGTCCCGCCCCGGTGGCACGGTAGGCTGATGAGGCTGTGCAAGAGCGGGGCCGGGTGACGGTGAGGCAGGTGCGTACCCTGGCTCACCGTGGAGCTGCTGCGGCGGAGCTGCGTCTTGGTCGGCCCCAATCCGCGATGCATGCCGGAATCCTGCAAGGGGGGAGGCCGCGGTGTCTCTGAGCCCCGGGTCGGGACTAGAGTCCACCCGCTTGGATGGAGATGCCTTGTCACCGGGGCCATGCGCACCATGCGGGCCCTCTAAGGTCTTCGCAGTGTCCTGAGCCTTCTCCATTGCCCCGACGCGCTTAAACAGTTGCTGGCTCACACTGGTGAACTTTGACTGCAGCTCGGCATAGTCTGCGCGCAGCGCGGCGACTTCCTTCTTCAGGGTCTGCACGTCGGAGCTCGTCTCGCGGACGACACCGCTCATCTCCGAGACGTCGCCACCGGTTGGCATGGCACCTGCACGGCTGAGCTTCTGTGGGGGAAGGGTGAGGCCAGCTGTTTGAAGGGCAGATAACAAATTGCCAGATATGTAGGCGCACATGTCAGCCCGCCAGTCGCGACGGTAACGCAGGGGTGCAGTGGTGAATGCGATTGGTCCGCCGAGGTGTTGGAAGTTGGTGGTAACGTGCAAGTGGAGGTACATGCCGACGTAAACACCACAGTCGAGACTCTTCTCGGGCTGACGCGATATCTCGAATTGGATCTGCGCATAACAACCGTGAATGTTTAGTACATATTATGGGGGGAGACATGTGCGAAGGCCGGAAACTCAAGCATCTCACGTCGAGTGCGCGATAGGGGATGGAGCCAATTCGGGACTCGACGTCCGTTCGGGACAGCTGGGGGTAGACACGGTTCAGCTCCGACGCGAGAATCCTGCCATCGCACATGGAAAATAGATCAGCTAGTTTCGCGCCAAACCGGTTACAAACACCCTTTGAGCGCCTAAACTTACAGGCGGACGTTTGTGACGACTGCAGGGTTGGCTGCATGATGACCTGTGGAATCATACAGCCACAGCTTGGGGGTGGGGAGCTCCTCACCACCGTCTGATGATGTCACAAGAGTGCTTGCGTTCTCCAGAACAAACAAGCTGAAGTGGAAACTGAAAAGAAGACGATGGTAGTGATTAGAGGGCCCTAGCCATTAGCAAAACCACGGGCGGGAGATTGGATCACGTACTCAGCCGCGGCAAAAATTGCCACATAGTCGAAGCGCAAAAAGGAGTCCTTGTCGTCGCAGCATGCGATGAGCTTCTTTTGTGACACCCAGTAGTCGTAAGCTTTGACATCGAGCGCGATCCACGTTTTTCCGTTGCCCAATTTCGGATCGCGGATGTCTAGGATGCTGTACGGGTACGAACAGGGGGGTTGTGTTGCGGCCGTTAGAAGGAAGCAGTGTTGCAAAAATGGATCCGCGAGTATTGACAAGCGATAAAACTTCTCCATTGACTTGGCGGGATATACATGTTGTGGAAGTCCAGTGCGTTGTCTGTGATTGGTGCATCGTCCTGCATGTGGAGAGCGTCGGCAACGTTCAACGTAGTGCCGAACCCATGCCAGTTAGAAACCAGCTTCGTGGGCCAGTTGCCACTCTTGACCGACGGTTCCTTCCTAGCTCGGCACGCCGGGGTAATGCCCGGGAGCTGCTTCATGCTCCCTGCCATGTCCGCAATAAGATCCTGTGCCGGTGGTAGCGACTTCTGGGGGGGAGGCGGGGGTTGGAAGGAATACGGTTCTGGCGTGGCCCGTGCCGGGTGCGCCCTACTATTCGGGCCGGTCGCTGGTTGCTGTTCTGCACGAGTCGTCTTTTGACGTTTTTGGTGCTGGCCGCCCCTGTTACGCGAGCGGCGTCCGCTTGGGACTTTAGTAGCATCCTCTCCGGCCGTTCCGCCGTGATCCGACGTGGCCTCTACTTCCAATAGGTCGTCATCCTCCTCGATATCAAGTGCGACTGGGTCGTCCGGCCGGCCCGTAGGCATCTCTAGTGGCTAGAGGTGAACGCGGGTGAGTCTCAGGCTAACGGCAACGAAGGAGTAAAGAGCCCAAACTTGTGAACAACGGTGAGCGGGACTGCTAATGCGAGATTGTTTGAAACGGAAAGCCAAACATCGAGCACAGGTCGGTGGGTAATGAGCAAGAATGACAATGAATATGAATGCGAGGGCCTGGGGTCTTGTGACTAATCACGGGCAACAACTGCACTCGCTTGCGGGAATTGCACGCTGAACAATTCGAGCACCGATTGGATGCATATCGCGTCGCGAACGTCGTTTTATCCGATTCCCGTCCACGTGGAACCGTGTGCTGGTTTATCCTCGTTCGCTCATGCTCGCGGTCTGTTCTTTAGCAAATCGAGGTTGTACACAGGGCCAAGCATGGGGTGGCAAACCCTCATGGGTGTCCCTGAATGGTGCGAATCACATTGGTAGATTCCCCCGGAGGCCAGGTGGCGTGCAGCTGGCATGCTCATAAACTTTGTAGATAAAATGCGGATTGGACTTGGTTCGTTGTAATTAGCACGTTGGCCGTTTCACGCATGGTGTTAATGAGCACATGTGGCAACGGGGCTAAACGTACCACGTGGGCAGCTTTGTTCATGAACAAATTGCCACGTGTTTTGTTATCTGCCCTGCCTGCCCTTCATGGCAATTTGTTATCTGCCCTGCCTGCGATTGGTGCTCATTTTGTTGCTGTGAAATGTCATAACACATTCAGCCAGTGCATCCGCGTTGACGTCAGACTGGTGCATGCATGGTTTTTGGTGGGAAACTTGTCTGACATTGTTTACCGTGATGAATAACCCCGGATCGTCCCGAAACGTCACCTTATTGGTCCACGTTCGATGTGCTCAGTTTCCGTTGCTCATTAACACATCGTCTCAATGACTGCCATTTGGCGCTCATAGGACCATCGACTTGGTGGCGCCTTGTCGAGCCTAAAGTACGAGCTGTCACACGTAGGCCTGGCAACACTGTACTACGCTTGTATGGCTCCAACAATGTTGGAGGGTCTGGTTTGGGTTTCTGGCAAAAACTTCGGACCTGACCGTACACTTACATCTACACTACCAATTTGCAGACAAAGTGCCGGGACCGCGCGCCGCTCGCGATAAAAGGTGGGACGTGTGCCTTTTGGGTTGTGTAAAAATTTTAGCGCGATGAAAAAAATTCGCGAGACCTAAACCCGCGCCGCGGCAATTCTCTCCAACTTCGTGTAATGTTTCCAAACACGCCAAATTGCTAGCAGAGCGCGTTTCATCCAGGCTGGCAGCGGGCGATGCAAGGATGGAGTTTGGCAGCGACGCCGTTGTCCTAGCGTGTTGAATAGCAGCTGGCATAACTGCCTACATTTTTGTCGACAAGAACTACAGTATAAGCTGCCAGCTGTACAGTTTGATAGCTTGTGGTTATTTTACGAGGAGATTTTTGGAAGGCGAATTGAAGAGTGCACATCGCAAAAACAAGAGGATTCGCATTGGCTTATGCACTACACGAGTGGCCAGTTTGTGGGCAGAAAGAATTTCACAAATACTGTACCCCAGTTTAGACCGCCATTTCTGCTGTGGGAGGCACCAGGGTAAAAACACGGCCCAGAAATTATTCAAACCAGCCTGGCGTAAAAAGACAAATCTGACCTTTTGTGAGAACGACAGCATTAGAGCAACAGGTCAAGAACTTGCCAGAAGGTCTTGTTTGATCGAACCCACAATCACGTGACAATGCTGCCACCACTAAAGCAGTTGAGAGTGGGACTAGGAGACAAGAAGGTCCTCTAGAAAGTCACGTTCTTTGTGTTTGAGGAGCTTCGCTCTTGTATCATTATGGTCCGTGTTCACTGTGGTGAGGTGCACCAGAACTTGTTGTGTCAACACCTACATGAACTATAGGGAAAATGTTCAGATGACAAAAAGTAGGGTGCGTGGAAGTTGTTACCAGAAAGTTTCGGATTTGGTACTGTTTCTGAACACGGTCTCAATCACACAAACCTCAATCCAGCACGAAGATGCAACGTCGTGCTGTGCAGCAAACTATTGCTGTACAGCAAACCACTGCTGTGCTTTGACGAATGCAGGCACATAAGGAACATGAAGCTCACGGTACCGTTGCTGAGTTAGGCTCCCGTGCATGCAGTGACTCTACCCGGGAGTGCAGCTATGGCGTTTCAACGGACCGCGGCACGTCGAAGCCCCAGTGACGATGTCCTAGCTAACCGCGTCCACCAGCAATGCATCTAGTCAATCTCATGCCTGATATGCCATAGGACCCGGTTGCCTAACAGGCGTATCCTGCATCCCCGCACTGCACGGGGAGCTACCAGCCATGCGGAATCGAGCTGCACGATGAAGTGATCGTATGCAGCGCATGGGATTTCCTGGCAGCGCGTCCTGTCAGCGGCCTTTCCATAGTTTGGAACACAACATGTGAGCTTAGGGATGGGCTGGATGTACTTAACTGGAATGGCAGTTCCTACTTTGCATTATATTTTCGAAACATTCAGCCTATCCGTTTTGAAGCTGTGTTGCCACTCTCCAGGCTGGTTGTACGCCTACCCATGCGTTGGTGATTACATAGCATTGCCTTGAATCTTCTTGCACATACCCTGGTGGTCTTGTGGACGGCTCATGGCAGGTTCCAAACCAAGCTCAAGACGTCGAGATGTCGCGGAAGAGAACAAAGCCGGTGACCATGAGGACAACCCGCGGGAGGGAGCCCTTACTCTGAGAAAGTCTGGCCGGAAGAGGCGCAAGCGGGTCCGCATTGGGGAAGAAGAGTCTCAATCGGGTGAGGACGACCCAGGGCGTGATTCTGGCGATGGAGGAGAAACCACCGCGCGTGACTCTTCAACCTGCCATGATGAGACAACCGGGCTGGGAGCTTCAACTGACGAAGCTCATGGTTTGGAAAACGATGACGAGGGACCGGACGGCCCAAGCGACGCTGAGGACGAAGATGCTCGCGACGTGGAGGATGATGAGGAGGCTAACAACGAGGATGATGACGAGGAAGATGCTGACGAGGATGCTAACGATGAGCATGGGGAGGAGGTTGATGATGAGGAACAGGAGGAGGATGAACAGGAGGATGAACAGGAGGAGGAACAGGAGGATGAACAGGAGGAGGAAGATGAGGAGGAACAGGAGGAGGAACAGGAGGAACATGAGGAGGAAGATGAGGAGCAGGAGGAGGAACAGGAGGCGGAACAGGAGGAGGGACATGAGGAGGAACATGAGGAGGAACATGAGGAGGAACATGAGGAACGGGAGGAGGAACAGGAGGAGGAACAGGAGAACCAGGGGGAACGGGATGAGGAACAGCAGGAGAGAGGCGAGCATGAGACTGAGGCAGAACATGGTAACAACGATGCCGAGTGCGACATGGATCCCAACAGCCGTGAAGAGGAGGCTGTGGCTGAGGAAAGGGCCAGACAAAGGGGACGGATTTTACCAATTTCAATGCTCGGCGGCAAGGTCGTAATGGCGGATGGAAAAAAGTTGACGACGCACTCTGGAAAGGGTCCTGAGCAACCGAAAAAAAAAGAGACAAAGCATGCTGCTCGCTGTGAAAAGAAGGGGAGAGGTGCTGCGGCGGTTCAAGAGTTGGATAAGGGTGCAGTTCGAGAGGGGGGAGTGTTGAAAAAGTCGGGGGGGGGGGGGGGGGGGGGGGGGGGGGGGGGTGTTGGCCTGGTTGGATGACCCTAATGTGTCTGTGTTCTGCAAGGACAAGGGTGAGGGTACAATGACCCTTCATGTGCCGGGCAGGGAGGTGGGAAACATGTGCGGGAAGGGAGCAAGAAAGAAAGGGAAGAACGAGAAGGGGGCGAACGGAGGTAAAGGAACATCTCAAAGACAAGAGGGAGGGGGGATGGGCGGAGTCAAGGCAGAGGGGATTGGAGGAGTGAAGGCAGAGGTGATGGGCGGAGTTAAGGCGGACGGGGTGGGCAGATGCAAGGCTGGGCGAATGAGCGGAGGCAAGGCAGAGGGAATGGGCGGAGGCAAGGGCGGGGAAATGAGCGGAGGCAGGGCAGGGGGGATGAGCGCAAGCCAGGCAGGGGGGATGGGAGGTAGCAAGACAGGGAGAACGGGCGGGAACAAGGCAGGGGGGGTGGGAGGTGGCTATGTTGGGGGAATGGGCGGAGATAAGGCAGGGGGAAGGGGCGGGGACAAGGGATGGGGAACGGGAGGTCCTCAGGCAAAGGGACCGGGAGGAGGCAATGCAGGGGGAACCGGAGGAGCCAAAGGAGGGGGGGCGGGAGGAGGCAAGGCAGGGGGAACGGGAGGAGGCAAGGCAGGAGGGACCCGAGGAGGCAAGGCAGGAGGGGCGGGAGGCGGCAAGGCAGGAGGGACGGGAGGAGGCAAGGCAAGAGGTACGGGAGGAGGCAAGGCAGGAGGGACGGGAGGAGGCAAGGCAGGAGGGACGGGAGGAGGCAAGGCCGGTGGGACGGGAGGAAGCAATGCAGGGGGGCCGGGAGGAGGCAAGGCCGGTGGGACGGGAGGAGGCAATGCAGGGGGGACGGGAGGAGGCAAGGCCGGTGGGACGGGAGGAGGCAAGGCAGGGGGGACGGGAGCGAAGTCCTCAAAAGGGAAAGAAAAGGTTGACGAGGCTGGTGATTCGGGGAAGAGCTTAACAGCTAAGCAACAAGCTGAAGGGAGTGCCAAGGCTAAGGGAACATCAGGTATGGTAGAAGGGCGGTGGGTGGGAGGTTTGGGGTTTGAGGATTCAAGGGGATGGGTGGAAACTGGGGGAGGGTTTAAGGGTGATTGTGTGGAAGGGGGGTTGGAAGAGGTAGGGTTTAGGGTTTAGGGGGGATGGTTGAGGGGGTAGGGGGTGGGAGAGCCCGGGTTTAGGGTTTAGGGGTAATGGTAGAGAAGGGGGGGAGATGGGGGTTTTGGGTTTAGGGGTAATGGTAGAGGGTGTAGGTAGGTGTAGAGGTTGGGTTTAGGGTGTAGGGGGAGATAGTGCAGGGGTGGGAAGCAGGGTGAGGGAGGGGGGGTTTAGGGTTTCCCTTGCTGCCTGCCTTCCCTTGCAACCCTAAACCTTGTTGTGTTTGTGGTCTCATATTTTGTACTTGTGTCTCGGTATTCGGCTCTACCTTCCAATTTAGGGGCAGGTCCATCGGGTACATGCACTGCACGTGCCAGCACATGGGTGGAGTTTGGTTCGTGCAAGGAAGGAGCTGCTGTGGTTCGTTCCGGGAATCAACTAATGCGGATGAAGGATGGGGCTTCCAAGGCTGACCTCGCGGCACTGGAAGCACGATTGTTGACCGCCATCAACAAGAAATTTGGCGGGGGTGGTGCTGTTATCGCCATGATGACCGATGCCAATGCTGAGTCTGGTGGAAATGATGCTCCTGCTTCATCGCTCACCAATCCTGCCAAATCAGCACCGGCAACATCTGCTCCTGCCAGTCCGTTTGCGATGGCGAAGGACGTGGTTACCAAAGGGGTCTCTGATTTCGAGGTCAGTACCAATGTCAACTATAGATATTCCGCTTTCCAGAGACTCGCTCGCCCTCCCATTCACACCAGCTCAAATCTTTTCCCCCTTCACATCTCTTCTTCCCCCCCCACCCCCCATGCACCCCCCCATTATTCCCCTCATATCCCCATTGAACTCTATGCTCTCATGCCCACCAGGGGCCTGTTGAACCTTGTTCACAATTGATGATACTTTGGACGTGAAACATCTCATACTGCACTTCCCTCCCTCATTTCCTTCCCTCCACCCCCAATCCAGAAACTTGCAGGGTATTGGTGAGGATGACCTTAACCCCTGAAACATCCCTCCCTCCCTCCACCCACCCCCCTCGTGGCTAAAACCTCTAAAACCTTCAGCCACCCACCCTCCTCCTCTACCTTTGACCATTGGCTATTGTTGATGATTGCTAATTCAACCCTAAACCATGTGCCTCCACCTTAAACTCCCCTTGTCCCTCCTAAACCCCCCTCCACCCTCAGGATTTTGGTGAGGACTCTCCAAAAACCCTGAATCATAACCACTCCCCTCTTGCCTAACCCCCCCTCTAAACCCGCCTCTTCGTCCACTCCCCCCCCTTGAACCTCCCCCTCCCCATCTCCAGAAAACGACTGTGTATAACCCTAAACCCTGAAACATCCCTTCCCCCTTCCTACCCGCTCCCCCTTTAACCCCCCGAACCCTAAACCCTCCCTCACCCCGCCCCGCCCCCCCTTTTCCCTGCCCCGTGTCACCACCGCCGCAGGAGCTTTGCAAGAGTGTGGTGACATTTATGTGTTACAACATCGAGGCAAAACGGATTCAATTCTATCCTACCATTGCGGAAGCGCTAGACATTGGATTCAAGGAGTTTGTGTCGCCGGAAGTTTTAGACGCGCTCAAAAAGCTTTTTGTGCACAATGATCCGGGAACGCGTGGTGTGTTTTATGCCTGTATTTAACCACCCGAACCACCATCAATGGCACGATGCGCAAGCAAGCACTGACTGCTTTGGGCCTGGAGAGCAACGCGTGCTACATCCCTAAGCTGCTCCCGGATCTGCCACGGCCCAGCGAACTTATCAAGGCGGATGCATTCAAAGCACGCTACATGAGTGGTACGTTTAGTGTGGTGGTTTGTGCTATATTTTGAAGCGGTATACATTAGTGAGACGTGTTCCTTAGAGGTATGTGTGTGTGTGTGTGTGTATGTGTGTGTGTGTGTGTGTGTGTGTGTGTGTGTGTGTGTGTGTGTGTGTGTGTGTGTGTGTGTGTGTGTGTGTGTGTGTGTGTGTGTGTGTGTGTGTGTGTGTGTGTGTGTGTGTGTGTGTGTGTGTGTGTGTGTGTGTGTGTGTGTGTGTGTGTGTGTGTGTGTGTGTGTGTGTGTGTGTGTGTGTGTGTGTGTGTGTGTGTGTGTGTGTGTGTGTGTGTGTGTGTGTGTGTGTGTGTGTGTGTGTGTGTGTGTGTGTGTGTGTGTGTGTGTGTGTGTGTGTGTGTGTGTGTGTGTGTGTGTGTGGTGTGTGTGTGTGTGTGTGTGTGTGTGGTGTGTGTGTGTGTGTGTGTGTGTGTGTGTGTTGTGTGTGTGTGTTTTGGGTGATTTTTGCAGTGTCGGTGCGTCACGCATTGACGAGGCGCGGAGTAGTGCTTGACAGGCTGAAGATCCGACAGATTGCCTGGATCTTGTACGCTGTAAGTGGCTGCAGATTGTTTGTGTTGTGGTTGACTGCTTGCATTTGCTTCGTTAAGACTTCTTTGAACTTCGGAGCAGTAGGAGGCTGACCTTAAAACTTTTCTTTACAAACCCCTACCTACAGTCTCCTTCCCCTCCTTGGCATCCCACAGTTACCCTTTTCACCCTCTTCGTAGCCCACCCTCCCTTTCCATTCTCATAATGCAGGTACCTTAGGTGGCTTTCAATGTGAAATCTGGGTCTGCACCTTGCCATTTCGCGCTTCGCTCCCCAATCACTTTCTAAACCCTCCGTTCCTTTCACTAATCACGTCGGCCGTTCCCTATACTCGTCATCCTTGCTCTCTTCCCTGATTCATGTCCTCTCCACCTTTTTTACCCTTTCCCCCTCCCATGCAGGTGAAGGGCTTCTGCAATATTATCGGGCAAGTGGGCCTAAGACCCTCTAATTCTAAACATTTTAAAGCTTGTACCGTCACCCTTCGATTTTTATGCTACCCATGTTTTTCCCCAATCAGTTGGAGTGGCCGTTTTTGGATCAGTCCCCGGAACGAAGATTGTCGGGCAAGCCTGAAGAAAATCGCCTCAACTACGAGGCGATGTGCACCCGTTGCAAGGGATGGGTGGAGTTCGCGGTGATGGAGCATGGAGTGGCGTACGATAGTGGAATGGATGTGTTCATCTTTCCGAACGAGATCCTGATCGACGCCAGCGATTTTGGCCCTTTTGTTGCCAGGCTGCAGGTATGTCTAAACTTTTGATCTCAAATCATTTGTGCAAGATTTCAAATAGACTTACGTGGATGTTATTGAATTGTGCAGAACACTCCAACTATTCAAATGGTCTGAATGACCATGTTTAAAGGCAGCAGCAAGCATGGTGCAGTAAGTGTGGGATAGTAATAAATGAGGGGCACCAGGGTACGTGGGGCAGCAGTAAACATGGGGGGTAGCAGTAAACGTGGGACAGCAGTATGTAGTTCTGGCCGGCAATAAGTGTGGTGGGGCAGCAAGTGAGTGGTTGCAGCATGTGTGCGGCAGCAGCAAAAATGTGGCAGTATGCGTGTGTCAGCATGACAGATGGGGCAGTAACGGATGTGGGATAGCAGCATGTGTGTGGCAGCAAGGGAGATGGAGCAGCAAGTGAGGGGTAGCACCATGTGTGGCAGCAGCAGAGATGGAGCAGCAGCAAGTATGGGGTAGTACCATGTGTGGCAGCAGGGGAGATGGAGCAACAAGTGAGGGATAGCACCATGTGTGGCAGCAGGGGTGATGGAGCAACAAGTGAGGGATAGCACCATGTGTGGCAGCAGGGGTGATGGAGCAGCAAGTGAGGGGTAGTACCATGTGGCAGCAGGGGAGATGGAGCAGCAAGTGAGGGATAGTACCATGTGTGGCAGCAGGGGTGATGGAGCAGCAAGTGAAGGGTAGTACCATGTGTGGTAGCAGCAGAGATGGAGCAGCAGCAAGTATGGGGTAGTACTATGTGTGGCAGTAGGGGAGATGGAGCAGCAAGTGAGGGATAGTACCATGTGTGGCAGCAGGGGAGATGGAGCAGCAAGTGAGGGGTAGTACCATGTGTGGCAGCAGGGGAGATGGATCAGCAAGTGAGGGGTAGTACCATGTGTGGTAGCAGCAGAGATTGAGGAGCGAGAGGTAGTACCATGTGTGTGGCAGCATGTGTGTGGCAGTAGCAAAGATGGGGCAGCCACGGGTGAGGGATAGCAACACGTGTGTGACAACAACAGAGATGGAGCAGCACCCAAGTGAGGGGTAGCAGCGTATGTGTGGCAGCAGGAAAGACAGGGCAGCACCAAGAGATGGATGTGTGGCAGCCACAGGCAATTGCAAATGTAGGGTAGTCATCAAGGGGTTGGGATAGAGGGATAGGCAGTAGAGGGGGGGACAAGAGTGGAAGGACGAAGGGTGGGATGCGGGGTGAGCAGCCATGAACGGGGGGGGTGGCGAAGACGAAAGCTCCAGTATGGGAGTAGCGGCAATGTAGGCAGCTTAATGTTCTGGGTATTGTTTTGGAAATATTAGCTTTGTAATAGTGTTTATTTAGTACAAAATTTGGCCTCTACTCGGAGCTCGAATTGTTCATAAGAATGAGCAAGCTTGGTGTGGGTATGGAGCAAAACGGGTCAAATCTCATCCAGGATTTGGCTTGTATTTTGCCCAAGAAGATACTTAAATCAGACATGCATTCTACCTTGGTTTAGCCTTGATTTTGGCCAATTTCCAACCTTCCAACTAGTCCAAGTTTGGTCTACCCCAATGGACCAAATTTGGGCCAATTTTAGTCCCACATGACCAAATTTGGACCAATTTTGGCCTAAAATAGGAGGCCTTGTTTTGTGATGGACGATCTATAGGATGTCGAAAAAATGACGCCATCACTAGGGTATCCTTGGGGGTGTATTTCGGCGCCATTCCAAAAATGACGCGCCCCTAGGTTGGTTTGGCAAAACGGCAACAGCTCGACGCGCGTTCACTGTACGTCGCACTGCCGCTAGGTGGCACGATCGTGCCTGGCACTTCGACTTTGTTCACGATGTCGGATTCCGTTTCAAAAATAGAGCCGCGTCTCATGACTTTGATTAGTCAAACATTAGTCAACACACGGAACGGGCGCGTTGGGAACTTCGTGGCACCCAAATTGTCTGGCAGTGGTTTTCGTGCACCGCTGGTGATTTTAGGACTCCAAGTGTCACCCACGGATTTGATCATGGGGTGACACGCAGTGTCCTGCGTGTCACCGATACTACTATCAACCTGAACGGGCAACAAACATCACCTCGAACCGCGAGGTGTGCTTTCATACAACTACTAAATTTCGAATGAAAACTATTAGGCCACGATCTACAGTATTTAGGACCTGCTACAGTGCAATTGTAGCATCTCATTTTAGTGCACGTCCCACGAGTTCGTTTACCGTCCATGTTAAGATTTGTAACCCTATAACCCTTAGAATTGGACTACCATTGTAAGGAATTTTTCCGAATTCCTTATCGGGGTTGACTGCTTCGCGTACAACCCGATTTTCGGACTTCGCACGTTCGGCCGATTTCAACGCTGCCGAGGCTCCTCGCGTCGCCTTCGGCATTTCCATCGCCAAACCTGCACCCAACCTCGCTCGTCCGAGGTTCCCTCCTAGCTAGGCTAGCCCTACATTAAGTCTGCGCATTCATTGTATTCTCAGTTCATTCAATCACAGCCTCGTTATTCGTTTACCTGCGCACTCTCTTTTACAACTCATAACACCTGGTATCAGAGCTACTTTCCTAGTTCACCCCGCTTTTCGAGGGTAGTTTGGTGGCACGGGTGTGGTTGGTTTAGTGACTACACGACGGTTGGCTGCAGGGATTGTTAATTCAATCCTGCCCGACTCCGATAGTTCGTGTTTTCACTTGCCTGGAGGCCACGGGTACCCGACTGCCCACCAGACGTAGTGCTAGGCACATGGATCAGGAGACTGTTAACAAGCTGATGGCGCAAGTGGCAGAAATGCAGGAGGGCATGA